CACACACACACACACACACACACACACACACACACACACAGAAACCTTTCCAATTAAGCATACTTTATAAAGAGTTGATATGTTTAGAGTAAAAATACATTTAAAAAAACGTTTTTCAGAACTATGCTTATTCACTTTCTCTTGAGATTCGGATCAGCAGAAAGATCTCACATCTGAGCTGGAGCCCGGAGACAGTTGAGCTTAACATAAGATCCAGTACTGATGGGCAAAGCAGTTTCTTAATATACTGTATCACTCTAATCTATTAATTTAAAAGTGTCTTTAAAAGATTTGCTAACCATATTGTTCAGTGCTTAACCGAGGCTCCGACTGCACGTAAGCTCAACTGTCTCCGGGCTCCAGCTACATATTTAGCGCTCAGATGTGAGATCTTTCTGCTGATCTGAATCTCAAGAGAAAGTGAATAAGCATAGTTCTGAAAAACGTTTTTTTAAATGTATTTTTATTCTAAACATATCAACTCTTTATAAACCTCCTTCAGACTATCGCTCCTGATATTCTACCGTTTCTTACCCATTTCATCAACACTTCTCTAACTTCTGGTCACTTTCCAAACAGTCTCAAGGAGGCAAGAGTAAACCCTCTCCTAAAGAAACCCACTCTCAACCCGTCCGATGTTATAATCTACAGGCCTGTCTCTCTCCTCCCGTTCCTGTCTAAATCACTTGAACGCGCTGTCTTTAAACAACTCTCCTGTTATCTCCATCAGAACAACCTTCTGGATCCGCACCAGTCTGGTTTCAAGGCAGGTCACTCCACAGAAACTGCTCTCCTTGCTGTCACTGAGGAACTGCACACGGCTAAAGCAGCATCCCTCTCCTCTATCCTGTTGGACCTGTCTGCTGCATTCGACACGGTGAATCATCAGATCCTCCGTTGCACTCTCCAAAAACTTGGAGTTTCAGGCTCTGCACTTTCCCTCCTCACCTCATACCTCAAAGACCGTACCTACAGGGTAACTTGGAGAGGGTCCGAGTCCGACCCTTGTCAATTAACTACAGGGGTCCCTCAGGGCTCTGTTCTTGGTCCCCTCCTCTTCTCCCTGTACACAAACTCGCTCGATCAGTCATTAGCCCGCATGGTTTTTCATACCACTGCTACGCTGATGACACCCAACTAATTCTGTCCTTTCCCCGCTCAGAGACCCAGGTCGTCGCACGCATCTCTGCTTGTCTAGCTGACATCTCTCAGTGGATGTCTGCTCATCACCTCAAGCTCAACCTTGACAAGACTGAACTGCTTTTCCTTCCGGGAAAAGATTGTCCCACTCTTGACCTAACAATCAACATCGGCACCTCTGTTGTTTCCCCGACTCAGACTGCAAGGAATCTGGGTGTGATCCTAGATAACAAACTGTCCTTCACTGAAAACATCGCTGCTACAACCCGCTGCTGCAGATACACTCTTTACAACATCAGGAGGATACGTCCCCAGCTGACCCAGAAAGCAACGCAGGTTCTGGTCCAGGCTCTCGTCATCTCACGCCTAGACTACTGCAACTCCCTCCTGGCTGGTCTACCTGCATGTGCCATCCGACCTCTGCAGCTCATCCAGAATGCAGCGGCTCGTCTGGTCTTTAACCTTCCAACATTTTCCCACACCACTCCGCTCCTCCACTCCCTTCACTGGCTTCCAGTAATTTCTAGAATCCACTTCAAGACACTGGTACTTGCTTACCATGCTGCGAATGGATCTGGCCCTTCCTACATCCAGAACATGGTTAAACCATAAACCCCAGCGCGTGCACTTCGCTCTGCATCAGTCAAACGGCTCGCTGCACCCTCGCTGCGAGGGGGACCCAAGTTCCCATCAGCAAAAACACGTCGGTTTGCTATCCTGGCTCCAAAATGGTGGAATGAGCTTCCCATTGAAATCAGGACAGCAGATAGCTTGCACATCTTCCGGCGCAGACTGAAAACTCATCTCTTTCGACTCCACTTTGAGCGATAGAATTACTAACAAATAACTGCTAACAGAGTATTTATACTAATAAAGGACTGGCTTATCTATAGCCAGTTGAGTAGCACTTGAAATGTTTGGCTCTATGAAACCTGCTTTGGATAAAAGCGTCAGCTAAATGCAATGTAATGTATAGTCACACTCACTGAAACTGCTGGATAGAGATATTGTTTGCAAACTGAAAAAGTCCCACCCCTTTCTCTACAGCACATACATTTTTTGTGACACATATTATATATAACATAAATATTTGCTCCTGCTTCCTACATAAAGACTTCAGAGAGCTGGAGAGGCACAGGCTTGATCGATTGTGTCAGAGAATGAATCATTTAACTAAAGTTTAGCCCGGTGACCAGTGAGCAGGGAACGGTTGCTTGTAAAGGATAAGCCAGTCAGATAATAACGTTCTTGGATAAAGATTCTCGTATTTTCCTCATAGACAACAAGTCTCTTGCCATTGCTTGAGCCTATGTGACGTTTGCAGCGTCGGCCCTCAGTGACGAAAGGACTGAATTGAACTCTCACACACTGCTCCTCTAATGTAATGTCTAGATAACCTAAGGGTTGCAGTGCATGTGTGAAAGGGGAGAATATCAGCCGCACCAACCTTCCAAATTCAACATTCCTCCAATGTATTTAATAATGAAAATATCAACTTGGCAAAACTCTGAATAGCCAGTGGCATCTTATATGCAATAACAAGAGCTACCTTGAGTAACCCTCGTCTCAGCTTTTCTCTCTCTCTGTCGTTGCTTTCCCATTCAGTGTGTGTGTTTCCAACCCAGTCTCACGGCATTTCGTGTTATAGTCACGACATTTAATCTATTGATTCGTGTTCACCAACACGATTTTCCCCTTTTTTTCATGTCACACAGAACGATTTTAAAAGCAATGTATTGTAGTATCTATTGGTAGTATGTTTCGTGCCTGCAGCACCTCTTTTTGTCCGTTCGGGTCTTGGAAGACCGGAAGCTGTGTGGTTCATAAAAACATGTTCTTACTCAATATCAAGCCACGATTATTGTTTTTATTTTAAATCGTATAATGTCGGACTTTTTTTGTCGTCTGTGAGGAAAATAAATGGGGCTCAGAGCCTCAGAATACTGAAATCTGTATTTTTTTAATCTTTTTTTCCTTCTAATTTGTTATTCTTTTCTAAATAACACACTGTTATTTACTCACCAATAACACACAATTATCCTTCTTTTTATTTATTTGTTTAATTCCATAATGTCTGGCTTTTTTGGCATCCGTCAGGAACTGAATTTCAAAATAAAAATAACCAGAAACAGACGTAGGCCTATAAGGGACATTTCGAGCATCATAGAGTGGCGAAGTCCCTCCCCTTCCGGGGGACCTCCATGGGACCTTATTTCGTAAAAATCATGTATTGAAGTCAATGGAGAAAGAAAGATTATCTTTTGATCCCGTTTGAATTGTGCAACGAATTACACATATGATGTTTGTCAATTTAAAAGATAATTTTGCAAGTCAAAACAATTAAAATGTGTCATAAAACTGTGAAGTAACACATTTGTTTGTGTTAAGCGCTCAATGAACTACATCTCCCGTCTCGCAGGACACACCAAGACGGCCGTCGAGTTGGCACATTTCACCTCTTTCTTTCAGAATGAAGTGAAAAGTATTAAAAGAGGTGAAAATCACTACAAGTCTGGCCATGTTGAGAGCTGTACATAGACAAAAGGGGAGTTAGTCGGTTCCGTAAGAGCCAGCATGCGGGACCGGGATTCTGGGATTTGTAGTCTTTCTAGTTGCGTATTTTTCATAGTCTTATATTTCAACAGTTTTACGACAAACTGTGACTTTTTTGACACGGAATTTTTTTTTTAAGATCATATGTGTAATTCATGACACAATTCAAACGGGATCGAAAGATACGTTTTCTCTCTCCATTGACTTCAATACATAATTTTTCAGAAATAAGGTCCCATGGGGCGGAAGTAGATGGGCGTGACTTCGCCACTCTAGAGTGGCGAAGTCACGCCCATCAAATACAAGACTAAATACACAACTAGAAAGACTACAAATCCCAGAGTCGCGTAAGTGATGTCACAATTGTTTTCCTCCACCAAGAGATAGCTAAGATCAGCATGGCGCTGGCTAAGATAAGATAACTTTAACAAGATGCCTGTGTGCTTAGTACCAGGTTGTTATCATACCAGCAATGGGTCTTGCTCGTTCTTTTGCTTCCCGTCTGATGAAAGGACCAGGAGTGGCTGGATCAAGTTAGCTACCTAGCTAGTAGCTAGCACGTTAGTTAGCATTACAGCCTTGTCATTTTTATTAGCCTTAATATGAAGTAACATTAAGTAACCAAAAATGTTAAACAGTAAGAGTAGTAGTCATATTTCGTGAACCCTTTGAAGAGTACTGTCACCGGTGTGATCATTCTATAATACACAATTTAAGCCCGGGGGAGAAATGCTAACGCTAGCATCAGCGATCGCCGATCTTTTCTACTTCATGTTATCTGCACAAATGGTTGACATTAAACATTAATAAGACCAGGCAGTTCAGAGAGAATCAAATTAAGGCAGGCAAGCAGCTTTGCATGACATTCTTCTGGACGTGTTTCATTGTGGTGATAGTGAGGGTAGACAATCCTTTTGTTGACAAGACAGTAGTGACGGCCATCTTGGTGACGTGTGTTGTTGTGAGTCTGCGAGTCCAGAGATGTAGTTCATTAATTGTTTCACACAAACAAATGTGTTACTTCACAGTTTTACGATACTTTTTTTTTTTTGACTTGCAAAATTATCTTTTAAATTGACAAACATCATATGTGTAATTCGTGGCACAATTCAAATGGGATCGAAAGATAATCTTTCTCTCTCCATTGACTTCAATACATAATTTTTTCAAAATAAGGTCCCATGGAGGTCCACCGGAAGGGGAGGGACTTCTCCACTCTATTGCGATACACAGCCACTGAACTGATTACCCAAGATCCTCAGCTATGGACACGAAAAAAAGGGGAAAATCGTGTTGGTCAACACGAATCAATAGATTAAATGTCGTGACTATAACACGAAATGCCGTGAGACAGGGTTGGTGTTTCTCTCTCTCTCACTCTTATACATACATTCTCATAAATGTACAGCTGCAAAAACACAAATTGTTTAGCTAATAGGAAGCTGGCATTGAGCCTTTAAAGTGATTGTAGTAGCTCCTCAAGCTGAGTCGAAGTTCAACCCCATGGATATGTTAAATGAGGGAACACAGATCTTTATAAGATTGGGCATTAGACGTTACCTCAGTTCATCCCTCATGCTTCGTCTTATTTCTCCACCCATGTTTCTTCCTTTTTCTCCATCAATGTTTTTCAAAGCTTCTTGGCTGATGTTTGAGGGTTGGTGAGTTGTTCTGCTCCTCTTTGCTATTACTTCCCCTTACTCTTCCTCTCTATTCTTAACCTGAATTCTACCCTTTATCCTTTCAGAGCTGCAGCAATGCTGGGGAAAGAGAAACACAGACCAGGCTTCTCTTCATTCCAAGTGCAATCTCTGAGACATCTCTCTTGGTGAGTTTAAATTGGGAAAAATGTAAACTGTATCATATGCTTCTGTTTGAATTGGAAAGTGTGTGAATTCTCACTGTGAGGAGCGTACTTCTGGAGTGTGCCATGCAGAGACTGTAGCTAACATAAAGACAGCTGTCAGCTGTTACAGGAATAACTCGCAATTGGCTCCTTAATAGTAGTCACTAAGTGTGTAAAAAGTCATGACAACAAAGAACATTCAGGCTGGCAGTGGATCTACCTTCAGTCAGAATCAATGGCTAGCTAAAACAAAATATGCTAGCCAAATGTTGATGTTGAAGACAAGTTTGTGGACTCCAAAATAAGTCGATTAAACAGGCGCACAGATAATCTATCACTTTACAAAGTTGACCCTGCTGGCTGCTTTGCATTAGCACTTCATATAAGTTAATTGGTATGCCCCCCGCCCACTGCCATCCAGCCAGGAAAGAAGGAAAGTGATGATGTGACCCTAATACTCGACCGAGCATAATGATGTGTAAATACCTCCTCACAGTCGGCGGCCTGCTTGTTAAAATTTTGCAGGCGTGTTAGGGTGATAGCCCTGATGTTGTTGTAAGCAACCCAGTCTCACGGCATTTCGTGTTATAATCACGACATTTATTTAATCTATTGATTCGTGTTCACCAACACCATTTTCGCATTTGTTTCGTGTCACACAGAACGATTTTGAAAGCAATGTATTTCTATTGGTAGTATGTTTCGTGCCTGCACCACGTCTTTTTGTCTGGTCGGGTCTTGGAAGACCAGAAGCTGTGTGGTTCATAAAAACATTTTCTTTCTCAATATCTTATCCTAAGCCTAACCCTATCCCTTTTATTTTAAATTGTATAATGTCGGAGTTTTTTTGCCGTCCGCGAGGAAAATAAATGGGGCTCAGAGCCTCAGAATACTGAAATCTGTATTTTTTGTAATCTTTTTTTCCTTCTAATTTGTTATTATTTGGTGCAGGCACGAAACATATACCAATAGAAATACATTGCTTCTAAAATCGTTCTGTGTCAGAATACTGAAATCTGTATTTGACAAACCACCTGTTTTGACTGTAGCTTGAAAAGAAAAATCCCGTCTGTGTGAAGCAGAAAAGTTTGGCTTAGTTAAAGCCAATGCAGAACCACATTTTCCACTCTACATGGATGAATGCATTGTAGCTTTTAAGAGTCAGTTTAATCAAATGTAATTCACCAAACTATTCCTTTAACATCTTAAGAAATTATTTATCTACATTTGTTTCAAGAACCAGAGCTAACTGTCTGTCTGCTGTTGGTTTCCATTGACCAACAGTAATAGGAGAGCTGAACAAAGGAAAGGCAACAGAAAGAGACAAAGGAAGCTCTCAGTACTAGTATCTGATGTGACCTGAAAGCTCACATTCAGGTATGAAGCGGTGAATGGAGTGAGGTAATCTTGGACCTCTGTGAGTAACAGATAGAAAAGGAGCAAGTCCATTCAAGGACTGTCCCCCGACTGAACTTTAGCTGATCAATTAACTCCATTATGTTAATCTGGGATGCACTCCATGTTCCCTGTGGCTCTCAATCAACCCAGGAACCCAGGGATGAGCCAAGACAGAGAGGACGGGTACACCAGTTCATTTCCCGCCGACCAATGAGGTCATCCAATGAGGAGGCCGGGTGGCATCCGTCCTCCTACGAGGTCACCTCAGGGTCTGTCACGGCCTTCAGCACATGTCTTATAAGTGACCACTTTGATGTCTTCAAGGAAAACAAGATCAGATGAAGATTTATCAGAGACAATCCAGTCTCTTTTTATTTGTGTTTTTATGTGCCAAAGTTTTAATGGGGCCCAGATTCTTTTGTGCAAGATACCATTTAAACCCGATGAACTGAGGGGCAAACATGCATGCAGTCTTACATCTAAAGTGCGTTGGGTTACACCCAAACCCAAGAGCTAAGAATAAAACACAGATGCATTTTCCACCACATCCAGGTGCAGCTTTAACAATGAACAAAGCAAAACAACGCATTTTTTTGTCTCTAACAGAGACGCTTTGGTTCTGCTAAAGCATGCATCCCGAAGGCGATTCATGACAGTTGAGCATCCAGGGTCCATTACCTTGAGCTGACGCACCAAATCAAGACCACTTCAATGACCCAGAGAGGCAGCCGTGACTAAAAATAAAGAGGCAGAAAGGCCAAGAATAGCCTCGGCATGAGGGGAAGGAGTGAATTACTGCCGCGATAAGCCATGATTCCTACACATGCAGTGGGATCATGATGTGGCGGGGGCATGCAAATTGGTACCAGCTGTGTGGCCTTGGAGTATGCTGTTGCGGACAGGAGACACGGTCCAACTATGCAGATTAATCATTTACTCATATAACACGGCCACGTTGGAAACCTCAGGCACTCACTGCATTTATCTCCATTCATGTGTGGTGGCTCTCAAGCTTGGCCTTGTGTCATGGGACTCAGGAAACAATGGTGGCCTCAGAGAAGCACCACATAGTTCATTAAGGTTGACGAGGGAGCTTACAGGATCAATCATCTCATCACCCCGGATCATGAGCAACATGACTGTTATAAGACACCCTCCTGCTCCTCCTTCCCCTGGGCATCTCACCATCCCATACCCCACTATAATTCTTTCTATTGATAGTCCCAAAGTGTTGCTGTCAATCTATTTCAAAGATTGGCTTTCGTGGAAACTATTTGGCCCACATTTGGGTTATAGATGCATTCTTGCGATTTAGCACCCAGTTTTCTAGGAACTACATATTCTCCGAACTGGAATTTATGATTTAAGAAAGTGTGATTTTGAAAGTGGAGCCAGCTGGAGTGGCAGTCAACAAATAACATTTATTTAACATGAGAAACTTAGACCTTCAAGGAAAGATGTCAGTGCTGAGATGTCAGTAAAGTCATCACTGACACAACGCTAAGGAGTCTATATATCCTTTATTTAACCAGGTAAAAGACTAAAAGATTAAAATCTCTTTTCCAAGAGCGACCTGGCCAAGAAGGGCAGCATGTACAAAGTTACAACAGATAAAACACAGACATGACAGGCAGACAAATACAGCTGTAAAACACAAATAAAATGGCACATTAGCCAGTTACACACTTAGCTAGCTAGTCTACATCCACACCGGGCGCTATGGACGTTCAACAACTACTGACAGTTCTTATAAACCTCTGAGTTCACATACATGGAATTGCACACCTAATTTTACAGATGGGGGTTAAACACTCAGAATCATGATGACAGAATTCTAACGGCTGCATATGCATACACAAAAATCATTGCCTCTTTGGGTTGTTGGTTTACTGGACAAGACCCCCATGTGTTACTCAGTCAAGCCTCTGTTTATGGTGCTGTTTTTACAGGTCTATAAAATATTAGTCTGAACCACTCTACTCTTGTGTGTATGGAAAAGCCACATCTGAAGCCTGCTGGTTTGTCAGGAGTGGCTGTGGGGAATAAGAGCTAATGCCGTGGCTTGGGAGCCTTCCTATAACAACACAGACTCCTTCAAGGGTCCCACCATGACAGCCAAGACCACTGCTCGGGGCCTCGACTGCTGAATGTACTTCAAACATTGAACACGCTGCAGGGGACCCGTGCTGTGTTTACTGACCGACCTGTCTGGCTTATTGCCAAGAGCAGCTCTCAGACAGAAGTTGTGACATCACTGCACATCTCAGCCTGTGTTGTATAATAACGACTAAGACCTGTTCTAGGGAGCGTGCCGTGTTCGCGGTGTCTTCTCTGAGGGTCTACTCTCAGAGAGGCACAACCTCCAGATAGAGAAGCTTGGCCTCATGTCTTTCATCACTTTCAGCTTGTCCTTATCTTGTGTCCCTAATGTCTCTCTCATGCATTATTTTCTTTTGCATCATGACAGTTTTACAGGCTTTTTTTCATCTCTTGGTATCATATTATCTTATATTAGTTAAATGGATTTAATAATCCTCCAAATCACTAGATACCACTCTTTCTTTATCAGAGAGAAAGAGACAAAAAGCGACAAACAGAAAGTAAAGAACACAAACTTTTAATCATTTTCTACCAGCTATGGCAGTCTCACGTCATTTTGTGTTATAGTCACGACATTTAATCTATTGATTCGTGTTCACCAACACGATTTTCCCCTTTTTTTTCGTGTCACACAGAACGATTTTAAAAGCAATGTATTTGTATTGTTTAAAAGTGTGTGTTATGGTTCTGGTGTGAAATAAAGTACAATTACATTTAAGACAAGAAAAGAAGAATCGGAATCGCAACTCTTGACTTGGTATCGAAACCAAAATGTTGGTATCGTGACAACACTACTCCTGACAGTTAAACCTGATATTTAGTAGGTCTGTTAAGTATTGAATGCTGATCATTCTGACGTAAACGGAGCCCCGCGCCAACGGAGCCCCGCGCCCCCCCCCCCCCTGAAATTCAAGGTGATATATATAATTAAAAAAATATATATATATATATAGCACCAAATTGCAAATAATCTATAACTACTGTCACTTTTCACATTGAACATGTGCTCTTTTATTAAATAAACTAAACGCTTTCATCTTAAGTTGTGGGTTTAGTGTTTTTGACCCTAAGAAACACTGATGCATTAATCAATAACAATAATCCACAGCTCCTCTCTCTGCTCCAGAGGATTTAAAAAATATATCCCAATGCCAAAAAAATGCATCAGTGACGTGGTTGAAATCTTGTCTCCAGAAAACCAAAAACTGAAACAAGCGGTATCAGTGACTGTGTGTTTGATGTGGCTCTTTGTAGTAACATAGAAAAAATGTGGCTCTTAACCTCTAACTGGTTGGCCACCCCTGGCCTAGTGGTTAAAGCACGTTATTGAATTATTGTTTTTATGTGTTATATATTTGATGAAAAAAATAGGGGGAAAGTAGAAGGTCAATGATAGAAATATAGAATATAAAAAATCAAGAAGATACTATAAGTGATCTCTACAATACAACAGTTTAGTGCAGGATGTACAAAGATATTAATAG